AGCTGGTTCCCCGACACGGGCACCATCTGTAGCTGGTTCCCCGACACGGCGCCAATCTGAAGCTGGTTCCCCGACAAGGCGACCATCTGTAGCTGGTTTCCCGACACGGCGACCAGCTGTAGCTGGTTCCCCGACACGGATACCATCTGTAGCTGGTTCCCCGACACGGCGCCCATCTGAAGCTGGTTCCCCGACACGGCGACCATCTGTAGCTGGTTTCCCGACACGGCGACCAGCTGTTGTGCAGCAGATTGATGATTTTCTTTTCATAGTATTCATGTTTTTGTTTCTTATTTCGACATTTTTATTACTGGTTCTTATTGCAATATAAGATACTCCTTTTAAACAACATTTGAGACAAATGTAACCTAAGATATCTTTGCTTCATTCTATGATGACATAAAATTGTCTAATGAATTTATTATAAAATAATCTATAAAAACATGTATTTGAATGTTATACATATAAGATAGAATTGGAACATTATTCCTTTTTATAAGAAATTGTTACAATTGTAATAGTGTGTGTTTAGTTAAGGCTCGTATGTTGCTATTGTTTAATCCTTTTGACATGTGACATTGTGTGCTTTAATGTCACCTTTTATGCATTTTAGTGCATTGATTATTTCTCGGTTACGGTGACAAGTTTAGATATCGGTATATCTTCTATATGTTATGAATATATAGGTTTTTACTAAATGAACAAAACATCTAACAGTACGAATGGACTTAATGTCAATGTGTGATTGTTAATGCGCAATGTATGTATATTATTTATTTACTTTGTAGCTTTGGTAAAAAGTTAAACCAATATACTTAACATTTACCAATATAGTAACTGCATTAACATTTATATTTCTTAATTTATTGTTTTGTGGTCAACAAAAGATATAATTCAGGTAACGTATAATAAAAAGATTAGTATTATTCTGCCACGGTCTATCCCGAGTTCATGTTACATTCCCCTTGTTTTAGTGTAAATTAATATATAGAATTATATTGTAACTAAAACAGGGTCTCACAATTTTTGAAAAAACAACACTTTGTTAGATGAACTTTTTCGGCTAAAATCTTTACTTTTTGAAATTCATGAGAATAAACTTTCGGGTATGCCTGTACTTCTGAAATAATATAAGTAACACCCCAGTTACACAGAGCCATCGGTGATTGATCGGTAGTTTTTTTAGCCAAATTATGGAGTGAACCGATGACAACGTATTTAACACCGATATCACCTATTGATCACCTGTTTTCCACCTATCAACTGCTATTGGGGAAAGATAAGTTTCATCGGTGAAAAATTACCGATTGGGATTTTTAAACACGTTTAAAATTCTCGATCGGTGAAAATATTTTAAAAATAACCGACGGCAACCTATATCACGAGATATGCAAGCTCTTAATCACCGATATCGCCGATCAGACAAAGATAACCAAATATGAATCACCGGCCATATCTGACGGAAAGTGTTTAACCACTGATGACTAGCTATCAAACACCGATCAATCAGCATTACGCCCGATTTAGCTCCGATTTACAAAAGATAAAAAACCAAAAGTATTTCAGCATTTAATCATCGACCCATTCCCGCTTGAGTTTGCTTTCTGTCACCGATGGCCGTTTACACAGAAAACCAGAAATAAAATCACGCATGACAACCGATCATAACAGCGAGTAAATTTAAAAATATATGACCGATTGGGGACTGACCGTCAGTGTAACTGGCCCCTAAAGAAATAGTATAAGTACACATGTATACATCAACACTTTATTCTAAAATAACATACAGATAGATGAAGGATTTGTCATGTTACTTACTAATAATTATTTATAACATCATTTCGTTAAACGAATTTATATGTTTTAGTTAATACCGCTAAATATCTTCCAGGAAAAACAAACAGCGATAAACCTTCGGTTATTCAGATGTTTAATATTCATCCGTTATATGTAAACAAATTGTTGGCAATGAGAAATCGCCATGTGGTTTGCTATGAGAAATCGCAATGCAGATCTAACGATATCGTTAATGATATAAATAGAAATTTGAAAAGGAAAATCAAAAATGAAATAGATAAAACAATTGTCCCTTGTAAAGTCTATTATAATTTTTACATTCTATGAAATATATTTTTTCATTAAGTTTATTAAACATAAAAATATCTACAATTTGTTATACAATGAGAAACAATACTAACTCGTAGTTTCTTATTATATGTCGTACGTTATTTTATACACAGATCAAAGTTATATCAGAATTAAAATAGATCTTCTCAACTCAACTCGAATCGTAGTTTATCAAGGTCACAATTTGTTAACATGTCAATTTATATATTAGGATACTAACTTAACATCTTAAAATTACGAGTATAAATGATTAGTAAAAAGTTAACTCATATTCAGTTACGTTAGCCTAGATAATTAAGATCACTGAGGAATTTGATATTGTAAAATAAATCATACATGCCCTTGCTTTGCTCATATAGTTTTCTCAGGAAATCAAAGACACATAAAATTACATGTTCCGGAATTTATAGTCAAGAAATTTAACCGTAATAGCTGCATTCAATATTTCAACGATATCTCCCTCGAATGATTACCCATGTTTTAAAGATGATAATTCTATCAAATGCAATATATTGTTTTTTTTTCGACACAATCTTACGCGTATTATCTATTCTGTCTACCTTTTTTGCTCTAGATTTGGATATTTACTATAAATGTGTTCATTACATTTACTTTCTGAACATAAGTATGTAAAACCCCCGAAACTACCAGCAGCGTTCACTATCACTATAACCTATGTGCATCAAAATACCGAAATAACTTTTCGTATACTCTAAGTATACTGTTCTCGAACTCTCGGTAGATTATCATGTAAAACGTCCTTCAAGTTTAATGATATTTTATTGTATAAATATACACACAATGTACAGTTTCATAACTTTACAGACATAATGAAGTGTACATACAAAAGGGTTGGGCCAAAAGTTCAAACAACATTATCGTGGGCCCTTCCCTGTCTTCCTTACATTCCAAACGTCCTTCGGTATTTCAGTTAAATATACCGGCAAAACGTTATCTATATACTATTTAAAACGAATTCTGTTTTCATGTTATTTGGCATTCATCATCTAAAACAATAAACATTAAGGTTAAAATGAATTCAAGCGATAACGAATTATTTTTGGTACGTGTTGGCGATTTCGTTATTCGCTACACAGATTTTTATTAATAGAATTGTACAGATAATCGTATTTTCGGATACGTAAATAACTCAAATCCATTTATTAATAATACAGATTTGGCCAATTTTATGAAAATTTAATGACTTTACTTTAAAGGTCAAGGTCCTTTCAAGACCATTGTCAAACCTTAAAACTTCCTCCACTTGAAATTTTATCTTAGGTGGTTCTTAGTTCAAATAAGAATCAAGTAAGTCTATAAATTTACAAAAGTCTGGCAAATTTAGTAAAATTCAATAATTTGGCCTTACCTTATGTTTAATGTTGAAACTATACATGACAAAATGAGTTTACCCAAGTACTATTGTAACCCGTAATTGTTGATTTTAGAAAAGTTCAAACGATTTTTACCAGAAATGTCGATGACATGTAAAGGTCAATGTCAGCCAATGATCATTTTAGCCATAGCTTTTGTAGAGTCGATGAGTCAAACGCTACAGCAGTGGAGCATTCGTCACAAAAGCAGTGGAAAAATATAGCTTCCAGTTCAATCCCAACATCCCTCTCGTTAGAGACTTGTGTCTGTAGATAATTATTATTGAAGATATATAACGATGTAACACTGACAGATACCTGATTCAAAGACACCTGTCAATTCTGTGATTCTGTTTGTTAATACTTTAAAAATTACAGCTGTGTCCTCTTGTAAAGTTAGATAAAGATGAAATATTAAGAAGTTTTGCGCGCGCGCGCGTGTGTGTGTTAGTGTGTGTGAGCGCGCGCGCGCGCGTGTGTGTGTGTGCGCGCGCGCGTGTGTGTGTATGTGAAGAATTTAAGTTAAATGATTAAGATGACTTTTAAAACATGGTTATTTATATTTCAAGTCTGATATTTTAGATGAGTACATGGATACATAATTTAAGTCAAAGGAATGCAATGATGTGAACCATGATCGCCATGCGCCACAAAATACACCATTATACATTAAATCACAACTTTTGTACGTCATCATTGACCATAACCAATTACTTTTGTTTAACATGGTTTTCTTTAATGGAAATCATTGTTTCCTTCTCAAAAAGTCTTAAGTCTGTTAGCTGCCAAATATACTTTTATTTTGCTCTGGCAAGTTTAGAAGATGAAAAATGTTATTTCTAAATTAATTTCACTATTATATAACTTAGTTTATGTCGATGTCTCCGCCGAAGATAAAACAACCACTTTCATTGGCTAAAACAAGTCGCGGCTTCAAGAAATAAATTGGGACCATAAGATAATATCAAATGTCACCTCTTTGCCACCAAAGAAACCAAAAAAGGATTTTAATTGTAAAATCAACAATTACCTTTAAAAACTGAAAGGTTATACATGTACACATATGCTTTTATTCAATGACATGTTTATAAAAATTACATCGTTCAATCACTGATGTTGACAGAAGTAAAGAATAACTTTTAAGTATGATTAAAAGCATTTTAAAAGCGTTTACTAGCTATATTGTCGATGATGATATCAAATGCACAGCGGGGACTCTTTACAAATGTACGGACATCACAATAAAAGCTATCTTCACATTATCATGTTAATCGATAACATTCTGTCAATTGAAAATATCAGTTTTTATGAACATTGAAAAACAGAAAATCAAAGTGTTATCATGAACGGCGGATTCTTTGAAAGAGTGACGTAGAATATCCATTAACATTATACAATAATGTCAGTATGAAAGTAAATTTTACGGAAAGGAAATCTGTTATAAAAAATTATGTTTGATAAAAGTAGATATTTAAAGTTGCTTCTTACGTTTGGTTAAACATGGAAGTGACATATATTTTATTCTGTGTAGTTTGTCATATAATGATTGAAAAAGGTCATGGTAATACATTTTGGGAATATAAAAAGCTTTATAGACATCTAGAGGAAAACTTTGACAAAACCATTAGACCAGTTATTAATCAGTCTAAGTCAGTTATTGTAGGAATCGACTTTAACCTACAGGCAATTCAAGGATTAGATGAAAAGGAACAGGTCTTACAGTCTTCCATTGCTCTAACGTGTAACTGGAAATATGAAACTTTGGTTTGGAATGAATCAGAATTTAGTGAGATCAAAACAATGTATATACCACCTGTAGACGCATGGATACCCGATCTTATTGCAATTAATAGTATTGACTCATTATACGTCCTGACAGAAAATCGCGCGGACATGTTACAAATTAAAGTTGAAAGTAACGGTGACGCACAATGGTATACTGGAGGAAATATCCGTACATCTTGTAATATTGATATCACCAAATACCCATTTGACGTACAACATTGTACAATTGTGATTTCAAAAACAACCCCGGACACTGAAGTACTCATTGATGTTTTACGTGATCAAGTAATAAGAGTTTTATATGAGGAAAATAGTGAATGGTCTTTGGAAAAATCAATTATTGAGAAAAGATTGATTCATAGATATATAACATTTCTTGATATAACTTTGACTCTTAAACGTCACTCGTTGCTTTATGTTCTTAACATTATAATACCTGTTTTCCTTTTGTCGTTTATGATCGTGTTGTGTTTCAAGATACCAGTAGCGAGTGGAGAACGAATAAGTTACAGTATCTCTTTGCTCCTCACCTTTGTTGTGCTACTGAATTTGGTCAGTGAGTCCATGCCAAGAGTTCCTAAACATATATCATATCTTCAAATATATATAAGCTATCAACTGACAATTGCCGTGGTGATAACATCCGTATCTATTTTACTAATAAGGGCGACACACATTCACGACGATTCACTAAGCTCTAGCATTGTTTCCCTCTATAACCAGTGCTTTAATCGTAGTAAGAGAGGAAAACGTGTTACCTCTAGACCTGTTGAAGAAATTGAGGTAAATGAAGACATACGAAAAACCGAAAGCCCACAACATAGCAACACTGATACAAAGTCAAAAACCGTCACAAGACCTGATTCCCCCGAGCGAAGGAAGTTTATTGTTCACAATATCGATGATCTTCTATTTTTTGTTTTCGTGTCTTTGTTTGTTATCTCCACACTTTTGTTTTTGGTTCTTGTCTCATTATAACTAATAATTAATTGAAAGAAAAAATTTGAAATAGGTTTTCTAAACCAATTATAACATTATAGTGAAATGATCAGATAAATTGGGATGATTAATTATATAACTTTAAAGATTGTTTGATAATTTACTGGAAATGGTGTGCATTTCTTTTAAGATGTTAGGGTAACTTAACAACTATGGTATATTTAAACGTCTATCAGAGTCGCAACCATTTTCGATATTACACATATTTAGTTTAAGTATTGGTTTAAACATATTTGTATTCAGAATATTTGTACATATGTAAGTACCAACCTTACAATAATGATAGATTTTGACTGAAACAATAACAGTCTTTAATGTCAGTGGTGGTTGTAATTAACAAGTTACCAGGAGAAAATCACATTTGATTATGCAAAATTGAAAACAAAAATATTAAGGACAATTTTAGAAAGTTTTGATGAAGAAAAAAAATTAAATAAGAATAACACCAAAAGACCCAAAACAAAACAAACAAAGATGTATACATGCAGCATAACAGTGCCAGTCAGACATTATATAAATCTTTACGTAGAATCAATATAAAAGTGAACAATCTTGAAAAGCTCTTCGTTTTTGGTTATTTGAAAGACAATTAGAACCATGCAAAAGCAGAGTGTGAGTTATGATCAGGGATCTATCCAGCTGTATTATGTTCCTATAGAGGTGCTGATACAAAGGATAATACTGTCTCTGTTGGACCACAAGCGCAAATATTTGATTTGGAAATGTATTTTCCGGAAACTATCATCATTTCAGGAAACACATCCAAGTGTTAAGCGAGTGTGCAAGATTTGAAGTTTTCGTGGTCCTATGTTATAGTAATTAGAGGGTTTACGTAGATTAGAAAGAATTCGCTTAAATTGTTGTACAGAATCTGATTATTTGGTATTCTGAGGGAGTGTGTTCCAAGAACGGATACTAGATGGGATAAGAGAGTTTTGATAAAAGTTTTATAATTATCATACTGGGATAAATGCTACTACGCGATATGTTATTTGCTTGTTTTAAATATAATACATTTTTTCAATAGGCTACACTGCTCAATTGCAAAACGTCTAACTCACATTCATTTCATGTACAATTCATAGACTTAATTATACTATTAAATTCGAATTCATTCACTTATCATACACCATTGATTTGACTGATAAGTTTGAAAATTGTCCCGCTTTGTTTAAGCTTATCCTTATCGATTTTAAAATCCTTTACTTAAAGAGATAATTGTAGTCAGCCTTACTGAAAAAAGCGTACGAAAATTTACCCGTTCACCATGAAATGTGCAGACCCTAAATTTGTAAGTAGTCATCGGTTAGATGGTAAATTTCATGTGTTATTAAAATTATTCAAATGTAATGAGATTCTTACACAAATGTGATTATATTTAGACATTATGTCATTAATATAAAAGCAATAAACTATATCATACATTTTAATTTCTTATTCTTTATGTATGGGAGTCCCATAGTGTTATAACGATAAAAGAAAAAAGAAGAGAAAAGATAAGCTTTTCAGATATGTTTGTTAAGCTTTTCGACTTATAGGCTAATGAGCACTTTGTCAGAACAATAGTTGTCAGATATTCAGACATTAAAAGCTGTGTTCTAGTAAATGATGCTATATCTGAATTTCAGCTTCCCAGTGCTACAATCAATGAAATCAATGACATCTGATCTCGAATGACCAGAAAAATTATAACATTCTGGAAACAAAGTGATCCCTCGGAAGCATTAATCACAGCAAAATTACAAGAGAATTGCAGACTCGATTTAATTGAGTCTGTACATGAGGGATAATGAATAAGTGCAACATCCCTCAAGGCCCTGAATTAAAAGTCTTACGAAACATGTCTGCCAGTAGCGTGCCAAATTTACCAAAATTTATTACATTACCTTATTTAAATTCGAGTCCGACATAACGTTTTTTATACACCATAATATACTGTAATAAAATTTTCTTTCAACGTAAAGTAATAGAAAGAGCATCGAAAAACGAGGCTATCTGATTTGTACGAGGGGGCGTAGCCCCCGAGTATAAATCACATTGTCGGGTGTTTTTATGAAACCCCAGAAAAAAAGTTACCAATAAACGAGTATCTGAATATAATATTTCTATCGCTATCCCTTTCTCTGACGTCACAGTAAGTAAACAGAAAATATGAGCCAATCAATGGGTATGCATTGGAGTGCGGGTAACTAATACCTGCACTCCAGATAACGCATTTTGCATGTTTATGTATACGATATAACTTTGACAATTTTTTAACAGAAATGTCCCCAAATTATAAAACAAGTTTACTATAGACCATTAAATGAATCAGAGATTTAATTCAATTCAATAGCTTCATTGTAAAAGAGGCCTCCGGCCCATACACAGTACATACAATATACAATACAAATTAGCATTACTGGATATATAGTAATGGTTAAATTTCTAATATAATTATACAGTACAATCTGAATTTACATTATTCAAAACATTTGAGGAAATTATCTCTTTCTTTAAATGCATAATAAATATACATAGCAACATTATTATCAATGACTCGTCTTTAGTAGCCATCAAAGAATAGAACTTTTCAACGTAAATTTACATATAAAGAACATACGATAAGAAAGTGATATTCATCTTCTAACATTGATTCATAGTAGATACAATCAACGTGTTCTCTATCAATATATGTCTACCCTTTTCAACCATAACAAAGTAATGAGCTTCTAAAACTAGCAAAGCACTTTCTGTACTTGTCAATATCTGTAACAGAAATATATTGTTCCGTTTTAAAGGTAGTCTTATACATAATAATTATAATGATTTAATATTACATTTTCTAACTGGTCTGTTAGACACTGTTCATATAACACTATAAATTATTTAGGATTCTTCAATTTCCTGTTTGTTACCATTATACTTCCGTGTTTCACTTCTAGATAAATGACCACTTTTTAAATACAAGTACTTTAGTTTTTTTTCAATATCAACAACAAGTTTACTACTAATGCAAATTTTTTGTAAAAAAAGTTTAATTGTTTCTGTATGACGACAATAGTCTCTATGTCTCTACAGTAATGCTATATCATCTGCAAACATAAGTAAAATACTTCAACAATATCAGGACAAAGTTGGATACCTCTTATATCATTTCCACCATTAAAATATACAATTCATTTATAAACAAAACAAACAAAATTGGACTCAATGATTTAATGATTTCATGGTATGCTGAACACGTTTAGTATACCATGTCAGTTCTGATTAAGGTGATTCCGCTTTGTCAGCCATGTTTGTTTTCACTAAGTCTGTCCAAAGTGAAAGTAGGACAAAATTCAAACAATAACAAAGCTCACGATGTAAAATGATGAACCATTTGAAAGAACATTTCCAGGTTTATGTTTTAAGCACAGTTAAACCAAAATAAAAATGATAACAATAAGAATATTTACCTTGAAAGTGCTACATTTCTGAAGACCAAGAACATTATGTTGCAAAGTTTTATACACATTTCATGAATGGCAAAATCCATTTTAAAGTCTGTTTTAGTGCCAACAATTGCTATTTTTTTGCAGCAAATACAAAAATCGTTCAAAACTTAATTCCAAATAAATCAGTATCTCATGTCCTTCTAAGCACATGATCTCCATTATTTTTTGTAAAAAAGTAGTGCAAGAAGACAATCACCGTTTATAGCCTTATGAACTACAATTAAAATGAAAACACAATCAGACTTTCAAATCTAACCTTTATATCGTGTAACAGTGAAGTGTGTCTGTTTGTCATGTACACAAGAAATAGGTAAATGATGTTTATTTTCATGGTTCTACTTTTTACGCATGGCATGGAGGCCATGTTTTTTCAAGGTCAGATGATCTACTTTCCTAAGATTTAAGTTTTTGCAAGTTTTTTTTTGTGTTTTCTGCAAAAAATAGCATTTGTCTGCACTAAAACTGACTTTAAACTGGATTTTGCCATTCATGAAATGTGCATAAAACTTAACAACATATTGTACTTGGTTTTCAGAAATTTAGCACATTCAAGGTAAATTTTCTTATTGTTATCATTTTTATTTTTGTTTAAAATAGTCTATAAATCATAGAACTGGAAGTGTACATGCAAATGGCTCATCATTTTACATTGTAAGCTTTGTTATTATATGAATTTTGGCCTACTTTCACTTTGGACAGACTTGGTGAAAACAAACATGGCTGACAAAGCGGAATCCCCTTAATGCTTTATAAATCTTTCATGATCTTTTTAATGCATTAAAGAATAGAATATATAAAACAAATTTACAATACCTATAACATCAATTAATTTGATTTGCAAGTAAAGTAATTAAATATTTTTGTTACTTGCGCACTTTTGAGATTTTATTCCATTCACATCTACAAATTATCAAGAAATACATATTGGCTATTAAACTTGTTTTGGATATTCTGTCTAATTTAAACAAAGGCACTTGCTATTCTTGACATTTCCATTGAAATAAAAACGATCTCATTTGACACAGAACAGAACAGAATTTTATTTACAGACTTATACAGATGTACATCGTCTTTTGATTTGATAACACGTCTGACTAAAAGTCGATATAAATAGTTCAGAGTTGATCACAATTGCTGTAGTTTCAATAAATAATAACAGTTAATCTACTGACAGAATAACTATAGAACGGGGTCCCCATTTTACCGTTAGAAGTTGCTTGTTTCTCACGTGATTAATATAACTTTAGTCAGTTGTATAACGGACTATTCACAAATGAATGCCCCAAGAACATCATCTCGCGTAAGAACGCGAAAATAACGAAAAATATAGATTGAGTAAAATGTTCATGCTTATGTTGTTTTTTATGCTTGTGTTGTAGGGTGAATTTTCAATTGTAAATAAATCTTTCTAAAACTTACAATAAACACACAAATACGTTATATATTTAAGCAGGATTTTTATTACGAGATAAATGATGATTTATAACAATAAACATACATATATTATTTATATGTACCGTGCCGCTATGATAATGTGAGAGTGACGTTGCATTTTTTGTGTACACAAAAGTTTACAACCTTTGTCTGAATAGGTAAAACAGGGTATTTAGAAGCGAATATCATTCAAGATAAGAAAAACAATTTGAAATGTCTCGATGGCAAAGTTGGTAAAGTTAATAGGATGCCATACAATTTAAATTTTTATCATGAGTTCGAGTCTCACAAGTTGTCACACTTTTTTTCTTTCATTATTTTTTTTTAATTTTACATTAGATGCAAGTGAATTGGGATATAAAGGCAGTTTTGTTGTAATATCGAATAATTTAGATATACCGGAAATAATGATTTTTATCCTGTGTAGTATGTCATATATATAATTCATAGTACTTTTGCATTTGTAGCCGGATTAATTTGCGGGGTGACTACAGCCCCAAATGGTTCGAGCACTGGGCCTAATTTAGCAACAGTAACAACAAAACAGATCAAATTGATGACATTTAATTTTGTGCAATAAGATTAAATTTCATTCTTAATACAAAAATATTCCCAATGTTTAATTTATCTCAATATGATTTCATCAAATATAATGTCTGAAGTGTTAATTAGCACAACTTCACCAGTGGCAGTGTAGCCTATTGAGGTGTTACTATTAACTTTCCTCAGGCTTCTTACCATTACCTTACCACAAACTTAGGACCAGTAACAATATACTTATGTCCAATCCGATTAGAAATCCACCCATTACAGCAATGCAAACAAGAGTTTATATTTAACTCACAATATAATGTTTAACATGGTTTTAAAATTTCTCAAAGTGTACCAAATTTTTAACCAATTATCAGAATTTCATAATAACATACTGTTTTAACAATTACAAAAACAATTTAATATCAAATATGAAAAACAAGATCAACAAGGAAAGGCGGCGTTCAATGAACGCAACCCCCAAAGCTATGTTTAATTTTAAAATGAAACGTTTATTATTATTGCCCTTTATTTTAATGTACAATGTAAATACTCAACAATTATATTTTGAAGTTATTATTTCCCTTTATATATTTTACATGTTAAGAAATATCAAACTACAAAACTATTACACACCTCCCCCCTTATGAAAAATAAAAAAAATGATATTAATTTTTTTTTTATAACAAAAATGTAAATGCCCTCACAATATACAATTATAACCAACATCAATTAATAAGTCTCAAATGTATGCAACATATTAAATTGCATATATTGATCAACATTACTGTCAACAGTGGCCAATTTGTCTTGCAAGTCTTTGCCATTTTGTTTTATTTTCTGCATATTCTTTACAGGCATCCCTTTTGAGCTTTCCACACTTTTTGTCGTGGTCGATTCTTTCTTGCTTAGTTACCCTGGAATTGTCATAAGTGTTGTAAGCTGGCATGGAAATTCCCTCAAGATATATTTTTTCATTTCTTACAGACTTAATAGTAATAGGCTTTTTGAAACAATTTGTCTGTTTATGGCTTGTGTGAGCCTGTAGATTACGTTTATAAGCAAAGGTTTTTTACATCCTGGACATATCCATAATTTCACTAGAGGCACATGATATGCATTAAAATGGTTCCTGTACTGGCAAAATGTTCAAAATACTTTCAGATTGTTGCATGCTGCAACCTCACAGCACATTCCTAGCTTTGGGAATGGAGTTCCAGGAATTGACGTGTCTTCATCTAAGACTATTTCGTCCATGTTTATATCTAACAAAAAACAAACAACTGATGATAAGTTCAGTAGAAATTACATGAACAGTATGCATACATAAATACATAAATAGACATGTTTGACATATAGCATGTTTAACCACTACCATATTTGAAGTCACTTTGTTATATTAATACGTTAAAACAACGTTAAAGTAAGTTGGATATACAAATCATATAAAAAGAATGATTTAGAAATATAATATCACTATTTTTTCCTTATTATGGATATAAAAATAATTACAAATACATTGTACCTAGACATTTTTATGTCTTATTTTACCCATTATATATAATCACATATATGTATACACATATATAGTAATATACATTCATTATGGCCACGTCACGCAAGCATCCAGACATCAGTCAAGCGTGGACGAACATTAACTCAAAATCACATTTATACCTACATAAGGTATCTCTTAAAATATATATACAGTATCTATATGGTATCTATAAAAAATTGAGTAAAAGCATCATAACAACAAAAATGTTATGTTGTAATGAACAATAGTGCAATTTGGTTACTATCTGTGCCTGCACTATACTACTTATTTAAGGACTGTAAATCTGTCTAGGTCTAATCAAGCGACCAAAACGAGATTTCACAGGAGTTAGGGGAGCAATGTCCTCAGCATCACTCTCAATGTTATCAATATGGTTTTCATCACTATTAGTAGCTGAGCAATTCTCAATTTGCCAAGTACTGGGTGCTTCGGCTCCTGAATACAGCTTCAAATGATCCACATGTACATGTATAATTCTAGAGTTTGGATCTTCTTGTATAGCATAAACTACAGTTGATCTCCTGATGATTATCTTATATAGACCGATCCAACCTAATTCCAGCTTTTGGTTGTTATGAGGTGGGTACCAGCGCCATACATACTCACCTTTTTTGAACTCTCTTATTTTGGAGGTTTTATCATGGTCATTTCTTTGATGTTTTGCAGCACCTAATATATTTCTATGAGCCGTTTCATAAGCTTTAATGTTTGCAGCCTGTAACCACTCTACATAACGTACTGAACATACAAATTCTGGTTGATTTGGTGGAGAACCATACATCAAATCAAGGGGCATCTTGGTTTCTTGACCAAACATTAACATATTTGGAGTACATTTGGTACTAGAGTGCTCTGTTGCCCTATATGCCATCATGTGGTAAGGTAAATATTCGTCCCAATTGTTCTGGTTCTCATAGCAAAATGTGGACAACATTTGTTTAAGCGTACGCATGAATCGCTCTATAAGGCCATCACTTTGGGGTCTGTAAGGACAGGTTCTGGTTTTGTCTATTTCTAAGAACTTACATACCTCCGTAAATAATTTGGAAGTAAAATTTCGACCTCGGTCAGTATGTATTTGTTCCTGACAACCAAATCGGCATATTACTTCAGTAACTAGCTTATCTGCTACTGTAAATGCCGTTTGATCAGGTATTGCAAACGCTTCTTTCCATTTTATGAAGTAATCACCGACAACCATGATATACTCGTTATTGTTATCTGAAATTGGCAAAGGAAAGCAAATGTCAATAGCTACTACCTGAAATCGTCTACAAACTGAAAATTGTTGCAGCGGGCATTTTCCGAACCCAGGACCAGGTTTACATCTTGCACATAGGTCACATTCTACGCACCATCTTTTTATACTATCGGACATATTCGGCCAATAGAAACGTTTTTTAACAGCCTCTAACGTGCGATCTCTACCAAAATGTCCCTAGATTCTTTTAACATGTAATTGATCAAAAACATCTTTTCTTAGAACTTGTGGTAATATTAAAGCATGATATGCACTAAAATCAGAAAATATTTGTTTATAAAGAACTCCATCATGTAGGGTTAACAATTCCCAATGTAAACAAAATGTTTTAGTTTCTGAATCAAAATTCTTAATATCATCTTTAGTAGGGATGCTATCATTTTCCTTGGCCAATAAAATGACACTGATACAAGGGTCTTCAAGTTGAAGTTTTCTTACAGCGGAGCATTCGTCACAAAAGCAGTGGAAAAATATAGCTTCCAGTTCAATACCGACATCCCTCTCATTAGAGACTTGGGTCTGTAGATAATTATTATTGAAGATATATTACGATGTCACACTGACGGATACCTAATTCAAAGACACCTGTCAATTCTTAAAGATATTTAATTATTTGATTCTTTTTGTTAATACTCCAAAAGTACAGCTGTGTCCTCTTGTAAAGTTAAAGATTAAGATGAAATATGAAGAAGTTTTGCGCGTGCGTGAGTGTGTGCTAGTGTGTGTTGGTATGTGTGAGCGTATGTGTGTGCGCGCACGCGCGCGCGCGCGTGTGTGTGTGTGTGACGAATTTAAGTTAAATGATTAAGATGACTTTTAAAGCATTGTTATTTATATTTCAAGTCGGATATCTTAAATGAGTACATGTATACATAATTTTAATCAGAGGAATGCAATGATGTGAGCCATTACCGCCATGCGCCACAAAATACACCATTGTACATTAAATCACAACTTTTGTACGTCATCATTGACCATAACCAATTACTTTCGTTTAACATGATATTTTCAATGGAAATCATTTTTTTCTTCTCAAAAAGTCTTAGTCAAGTCTGTTATCTGCCATATATACCTTTATTGCTCTGGGAAGTTCACATATGAAAATTGTAAATTAATATGAATATTATTATTTCTAAATTAATTAATATTTCACACTAATAGATAAATCAATTGTCCCTTATAAAGTCTATTATAATTTTTACATTCTATGAAATATATGTTTTTCATCAAGTTTATAAAACCTAAAAATCTCTACAATGTGTTATACAATGAGTAATAATACTAACTCGTAGTTTCTTATAATATGTCGGACGTTATTTTATACACAGATCAAAGTTATATCAGAATTAAAATAGATCTTCTCAATCAACTCGAATAGTAGTTTATCAAGGTTCACAATTTGTTAACATGTCAATTTATATATAGGATAATAACTTAACATCTTAAAATTATAAATGATTAGTAAAAAGTTAACTCATATTCAGTTACTTTAGCCTAGATTATTAAGATCACTGAGGCATTTGATATTTTACATACATGCCCTTGCTTTGCTCATATAGTTTCCTCATGAAATCAAAGACACATTAAAGTACATGTTCAGGAATTTATAGCCGTTATAGTTGTATTTAATATTTCAACGATATCTGTTTCGAATGATTATTAAATGTTTAAAGATGTTTATTCTATCAAATGCAATTAATGTTTTTTTCGACTCAATTTTACATGTATTATCAAGTCTTTCTACCTTTTGCTCTAGATTTTGGATATTAACTATTAATGTGCTCATTACATTTACTTTCTGAACAACTTACAAATGTTATTCAGTTCGTTGTTGGAGATTTCTTACGTTTCTCCCACGTATTGCTTGAACGAAGTTTGCATTTGCATATTGTTCAAGACTTAACATTATGTAGTAATTATAACATCATTAGATACTTTACTTCTGTTTACCTAGCTTTCTCCTATAGAAATATGTTACAATTGTTTTAGAACTTTCTTAGATTTTCTAGTGAATAGACCACTCTATATTAAAATGTTCTTAGTTATAAATGACTGATTATAAGTATATCAAAAAAAACATAACGAAACTTCCAGCAGCGTTCACAATCCCTATAACCCTTGTGCATGAAAATACCGAAAGAACTTTTCTACTACCCTCAGTAGACTGTTCTCGGTAGATGATGTTAAACGTCTACCTAATATATATCGCAAAACGTTATTATATACTATTGAAAACACGAATTCTGTTTTCATCTTATTTGGCATTCATCATCTAAAACAATAAACATTTAGGGAAAAAACGAATTGAAGCAAGTACGAATCATTTTTTTTTGGTACGTGCTGGGGATTGCGTTATTCGCTACACAGGCTTTTATTAAAAAAATGTTCAGATAACCTTATTTTCGGATGCGTAAATAAATCAAATCCATTCATTTATAATACAAATTTGGCCAATTTTATGAAAATTCAATGACTTTAGTCAAAGAAAGGTCATTGTCAAATTAAGTAAAATTCAATAATTTGGCATTATCTATCAAGGGTATTTCATATTGAGACTATACATGACAATTTGAGTTTATCCAAGTACTAATGTAATCCGTAATTGTGATTTTAGAAAAAATACGCAAAGGTAATATATGTTCATACATGCTTCCATTAAATGTCTGTTAACAAAATCACATCGTAGAATTACTGATGATGACAAAAGTAAAAAAAGTATGATTAAAGGCATTTTAAAAGCATTTTACCTTTTAATTACTAGCTATATAAAGTACTTCTTTCGACGATGATATCAAATACACAGCGGGGACTCTTTACAAATGTACGGGCATCACAATAAAAGCTATCCTGACATAATCATGTTAATTGAAAATATCAGTAAATTGAAAATATCAGTAACGTATGAACATTGAAAAACAGAAAATCAAAGTGTTATCTTTGAAAGAATGACGTAGAATATCCATTAACGTTATATGATTATAATGTCTGTATAAAAGTAAATGTTACGGAAAGGATATCTGTTATATGTTTGATAAAAGCAGATATTTATAACTGCTTCTTACGTTTGGTGAAAACATGGAAGTGACATATATCTTATTCTGTGTAGTTTGTCTTTTAATGATAGAAAATGGCCAGGGTAATACATTTTGGGAATATAAAAGACTTTATAGACATCTAGAGGAAAACTTTGACAAAACAATTAGACCAGTCATTAATCAGTCTAAATCAATTATTGTAGGAATCGACTTTAACTTACAGGCAATTCAAGGATTAGATGAAAAGGAACAGGTCTTACAGTCTTCAATTGCTCTAACGTGTAACTGGAAATATGAAACTTTAGTTTGGAATGAATCAGAATTTAGTGAGATTAAAACAATGTATATATCACCTGTAGACGCATGGATACCCGATCTTATTGCAGGCAATAGTATTGACTCATTATACGTCCTGACAGAAAATCGCGCGGACATGTTACAAATTAAAGTTGAAAGTAACGGTGACGCACAATGGTATACAGGAGGAAATATCCGTACATCTTGTAATGTTGGCATCACCAAATACCCATTTGATGTTCAACATTGTACAATTGTGATTTCAAAAACAACTCCGGACACTGAAGTTCACATTGATGCTTTACGTGATCAAGTAATAAGAGTTTTATATAAGGAAAATGGTGAATGGGCTTTGGAAAAATCAATTATTGAGAAAAGAGTGATTTTTGGATATACAACATTTCTTGATATAACTTTGACTCTTAAACGTCACTCGTTGTTTTATGTTCTTAACATTATAGTTCCCGTTTTCCTTTTGTCATTTATGATCGTATTGTGTTTCAAGATACCAGTAGCGAGTGGGGAACGAATAAGTTACAGTATCTCTTTGCTCCTCACCTTTGTTGTGCTGCTGAATTTGGTCAGTGACTCCATGCCTCGGGTTCCTAAGCATATATCTTATCTTCAAATATATATAAGCTATCAACTGACAGTTGCCGTGGTAATAACATCCGTATCTATTTTACTAATAAGGGCGACACATATTCACGACGATTCACTAAGCTCTAGCCTTGTTTCTGTCTACAGCCAGTGCTATAATCTTAGCAAGAGGCGAAAACTTGTTACCTCTAGACCTGTTGAAGCAATAGAGGTAAATGAAGACATACGAAAAACCGAAAGCCCAAAACATAGCAACACTGATACAAAGTCAAAGACGGTCACAAGACCTGGTTCCCCCGAGCGTAGGAAGTTTTTTGTTCACCATATCGATAATCTTCTATTCTTTGTTTTCGTGTCTTTGTTTGTAATCTCCACGCTTTTGTTTATGGTTCTTGTCTTACTATAACTAATAATTAATTGAAAGAGACTTTTGAAATATGTTTTCTAAACCAATGACAACATTATAGTGAAATGATCAGATAAAATGGCATGATTTATTATATAACTTTAACGACATATATAGTATGCACAAAGAATAATAGAAAAACATCTTCAAATGCATTGTTTACAAAGCAGATTAATATATTAACATACAATATTGTCGAAACATGTTTATCAAACACGTGGCTATAAAAATTACCTAGAAAATACATGTCACAGGGTCATATTGATGTGTTAATGTTATATGCTATTTGTCCATGTATGTCCGTATTGTAGACCGTAGATTATGTTATTTACATATCCATATCAAAGCTGTTGTATCTGTTACTGTATATATATATCTTGTGAAATCCTAATATTTGTGTCCCTTTTCCTATATTTCATCCACTCATCCTTTTATTCATTTACTCATCCATTCATTTCTTCATTCATTCATTTATTACCAAATATGTACTGAACACTGGTACGGGCCTCAAATCTAAATATTGTATTACCTTCACGCATGCGCACTTGTACTGAAGATTTTCATGACGCGAGCCAGACTTCATATTGTTTGATAATAAATATTTTCTGAGAGCGCGTCTCTATTTTTTTACAGCAACCCTCAAGCCAAGAACCTCTTAGCAGCACCTTTCCCTTATAATTAGAGTGGACTGCGACATACATATAAAACAATTTATATTTTGCAATTATTCAAATGTATTCCCAATCGAATATACACTTCAATGATTACATTGTAGTCTCATCGGTATTGTACACTTCGATTAGCCGATACAGTCAAATTTATTTAGTATAACACGAGAATATGGTGTAAAGTGCAGAGTTAGAGAGATAGATAAATAGAATGTTACCTGAAACGGCATCCTATATACTATGCTACGGCCTACAGCTACATAGTCTAATTACAGCTTCAAAGATGCTTTAATGATTGAATGATATATTGGAGGAGAAAATCAAATGCAAGTCAAAATACTGCTTCAGGATTTTATTTATATTATCTATAAAAATTTAAGCACATGTAACACACATAAGTACCTTTTACGCTTTAGTGATCATAGCCTCAGCCATTATGTATGAAGATAATATGTCACCAAAATATTTACCAACATATGTGAAACCGCTTACAAATTCTACTCGGTTACCATTATACTTCCATGTTCCTCTTCTAGATAAATGACCACTTCTTTTAAATGCAAGCACCTCAGTTTTTTTTCCAAAGTTTACTATTAATACAACATTTTTGTAGCAAGTTTAATTGTTTCTGTAGACTGACAATAGTATCTATGCAAACATAAGTAAAAATACTTCAACAATATCAGGAAAGACTTGGATACCTCTTATATCATTTCCACCATTAAGATATACAATGAATTGAAAAACAAAGCAAACAAAATTGGACTCACTAATATAATGATTTAATGTTATGCTGAACACGTTTAGAATGCCATGTCTATGGAACGCCACAGCCATGTGTTATTGTTAAAATAATGTCTTATTATGTTAAAAGAACATGTCAACTTCTCAGGTCTCCGTAATGATATGTTAAACGGCAATGTTGACTTGTTTAGCTACCATTTCAATATGTCAATGTGCCATGTGATATTGTTAAAATAACGTCTTATTGTGTGTCATGTGATATTGTCAACGTATCGTTTTATTGTGTTTAGAGAACAAATGAACTTCTCAAGACTTCACATTTATATGTTAAATGACAATGTTGACGTGTTTAGGTTCAATTTGAAAAGGTCTAAGTTTCATATGATATTGTTAACATAATGTCTTATTATGTTAAAAGAAGAAGATAAATTCTCAATGCTTCATACCTATATGTTAAACGAAAGTTCTCAATGCTTCATACCTATATGTTAAACGACAATGTTGACTTGCCTAACTACCATTGGTAAATGACTATGTGTCATGTGATGTTGTTAACACTATGTTTCATTATGTAAAAAGAACATGTGAACTTCTCAAGACTCCGTATTGATATGTAAAGGTATTAGCATCCTAATGCATTACCTACGCTTTGAAGAGTATTCAAATAGGCTAGAACTACTGTTAACTACATTGAAAATGTGGGCCATGGGTTCAATCCCCAGAAGGGTCAACTTTTTTTTTCTTTCTTTTTTTCTTTAAACATTATTTATATATCTCTCATGTCCCATTTGGAAAGAAAAATGTGTTTAATTTTGATATTTAAATTTATATAGGTATTTATTGGCTAAATTATGCTAAATCTAGTAATAAATATGGTACCTGGTATTTTCAAAGTGTAATATAATCAAAACTAGACGGTAAAAGTATTTCATATTTTACAAGATCAACGAATATACTTTTTTTTAAAAATTTAGGGAAACTTTGAAAACAGGCACTCACTTGGGTAAATTTTAAGAATTTTTTAAATTAGGCTCCCTAAGTAGAAAAATGGTCAGACACGTGGTAAAAATGGGTGGGGTAGGGTAACATTTTTATACAGATTTCATAAATTTTAAGTAGAAACCATAATTTTGCTTATGTTGATTGTTAGCTGTATGGTACTATTTGTTTCTTACCAAAAATTAATGGGAAAACATTTTTCATAAGAATGTTATTGCAGATTATTGAAAGGTTCCTCATTTCTAAAAAAGGGCCCTCATAACATCCTAGCTTGAGTTCAGAAAAGTGGCCATAACTTGATTTCCGTACGGTAAACTTTGTTTAAATTTTGAAAACAGGTGTACCTTAAGGTAAACATCTGACCTATGATGTCATTTTTTTTAGTTCCTGATAGTGCCCATTAGGGTCCTAATACCTTAAACGACAATGTTGACTTGTCAAATTACAGTTTGACCATGTCTTTTTGCCATGTGATATAGTTAACATAACATCTTATTATGTTTAAATAACATTAGAACTTCGCAAGACTCCGTATTAATATGTTAAACGACACTGTTGACTTGTCAAACTACAGTTTGAACATGTCTTTTGCCATGTTATATTGTTAACATAACATCTTATCATGTTAAAAGAACATGTGAACTTCTCAATACTTCCTATTTATATGTTAAACGACAATGCTGATTTTTTTAACTACAGTTTGAATATGTCTATTCATATGATATTGTTTACATTATGTCTAATTATGTTAAATAAACATGTGAACTTCCCCAGACTTCGTATTAATATGTTACATGAATATATGAGATTCTCAAATTTTCGGTTTATATGTGAAACAGCATTGTTAAATTGTTAAAACTTCACTGATGATGTCTACATGACTCGTTGAATTGTTAAATACCATTTTATTGTGTTAAAAGGCCATCTTAACTTCTCACAATAGCGTGCAATTCTGTTAACATGGTTTTATTATGTCGATAAGGCATGTGAACTTCTCAACATGTAAGTGTGTTGTTGTCTGCAAGTACTTGTCTACGGAATCCTACTAGGGACCTCGTGTCCTCGCCCCGCGCCTTGTTTTAAAAAACTGAATGTGACCAACGAATCTCGCGTTTTGTTTTCCAACGGTGTTTCAAAAGGGCGTGGGGCGAGGGCGTGAGGTCCATAATAGGATTCCGTACTTGTCTGACGTATAACGTTAGTTTTTCGCTGCGCGTGCTTATTTTAAATCATGGAGGACATCTCCTCTTCGGATAACCTAGAGGCAATTTTAGTAAGGGTAGACATGTCAACATTATTGTCGAGATTTAAATCTGAAAAAAAGACGCAGCCATAATTGAATCAATGCGAGACGATGACCTCATTCGCCCTGGAAGTCGTAAGAAGTTCACTTGTACTTTTAACATAATAAGCCGTCATTTAAACAATATCTCATGACTTAAAAACATATTCAAATTATATTTTAACAAGTTAACATTGTCATTTAACATATTAATACGAAGCCTTGAGAAATCCACTTGTTCTTTTAACATAATCATACGTAGTTAGACACGTCAAAAGCGTCAAAAGTGTCATTTAACATATTAATATGAAGTCCTGAGAAGTTCACTTGTTCTTTAAACATAACAAAACGATACGTAAACAATATCATATGGCACATTGACATATTTAAATGGAAGTTAAACAAATCAGCATTGTCCTTAAACATATTATTACGAAATCTTGAGAAGTTCACATGTTCTTTTAACATAATAAGACGTTATTTTAACAATATCTCATTGCATATTGACATATTCAAATGGAAGTTAGACAAATAAGCATTGCCGTTTAACATATTAATAAGGAGTCCTGAGAAGTTCACATGTTCTTTTAACATAATAAGACGTTATTTTAACAATATCACATGACACATTGACATATTCAAATGGAAGTTAGACAAATAAGCATTGCCATTTAACATATTAATACGGAGTCCTGAGAAGTTCGCATGTTCTTTTAACATAATAAGAAGTTATTTTAACAATATCACATGACACATTGAAATGGTAGTTAGACAAGTCAACATTGCCGTTTAACATATTAATAGGGAGTCCTGAGAAATTCGCATGTTCTTTTTACATAATAAGTCGTTATTTAACGATATCACATGGCACATTGACATATTCAAATGGTAGCTAGACGAGTCAACATTATGTCTTGACATGTTAACATGCTGAAAAATGTTCACATGTCCCACTGACAAGTTACCACGAAATGCGTGAACAAAAGACAGCTGTGGCTTTCCATACATGTCTGTTTTGATTAATGTTTTATAAATCTTTCATGAACTCTATGTGTAAGTGCCTATCTAACAGAAGCATTTACATTGTAAGATTTCTTGGAATTGGTGGACGACATTTTCCCTATGAGGGGGAGGATGTTGCAAGGTCATTTTGATGTGTTAATGTTATATGTTATTTGTCAAAGTATTTCTGTATTGTACACCGTAGATTATTTCATTTCAACCGACAGAGACTATTCATTTAATAATAAATTAAATAATAGAATATATTAAACAAATTTACCTATAACATCAATTAATTTGATTTGCAACTAAAGTAATCAAATATTTTTGTTACTTGTGTACTTTTGAGATTTTATTCCATTCAAATCTACAAATAATTAAGAAATACGAGGGGTGATCCAAAAATTCGTGGACACCGTGCATAAAACAAAAAGTAATAAAGCAAATCACATGAAATTCTAGTATCTTATTAAGTGCGCATATGTCGGCAAATTCTCAAAATATTGTAAAAATTGTACAAGAATTAACGATTCTGCACCAGTTTATACACATAGACATGACAAAACGCAGCGCAGCTCACGACGTCACAAACGACGTTATGCTATCATAGGAAGTAATCTACGTTACCGTTTTGCCTTATAACTTTTCAAAGTATTCCCCTATAACCCGCACACATTTTCAAGGCGGCGGACCCAGTCTCTAAATGTATTTGCATACCATTCCTGGCTGAATGATGACAGTATGCATTGGATGGCTCCTCTCAACTCTTCCAGATTGTCAAAACGTCTCCCTATTAACTCTGAAACAAGGCGAAGTCACACGGGGAAAGATCAGGCGAATATGGTGGATGACTGAGTACTTCTGCTCCAAGCTGGATTTGAATGGTCAGCTGTGTGTCCCGGACACGATGAGCAGGTCTTTGTCTCGCCAGGCGTCTTCCCAAAATTTACACAGAACTATATAACTGTCCGAAGTTTTGCTGGATCCGTGACGT